CATGTAAGAGAAGGCAACGCAAATATCACAACAGATGTTGAAGATGAATTTACTTGTAAACAGCTGTGCCTTCGAGATCCGAAATGCTACACAATTAACTTTGAAAAGACTCCAAGAAAAGGAAGAAAGTTTCATATGTGTCAAATTTTCCACCTTGATGGGATTGGGGAAGAGCTTTCATCACAAGAATTTGACAATTTCACCCCGATGCTGAAGAAAGAKGGTAAAAAATGAAAGTTTATATGTTGRTTACGCTTATCTATGWAATARCTATATTTCTCTCTTTCGAAATAATACRATTTTCACTTAGTYAAAATAACACATTCGAGTTTTCTCCATATATTGGAAGTAAAAACAGGTATTTTACGACAATAAGAGATACGAATTTTATCTTCTCGTGTTAAAAATCTCTCACGAGTGTGAAATCTTTTCAACAATCGAAGAAATCCGTATCTCCGCGCGCCCATGTAATATCGAATGTAATATCCTCGGCTCTACAAGTTTGTACAGTCTTCTTAACGCTGTTCATATAATGATCAGTGAAATAATTTATCACTTTCGAAAAGTTATTTTCGATACCGAAAAAAGACGACGAGGATAAAAGGTTTTAGCATTACATTTTGATAATTCTGATAATGCTACTGAGACTTCAAAAAACAACTAACTAAAAACACTAAAGAAAACTMGGTGCACCTGTATGTTCAAAAGCCGAAAAGCAGAAGTTTCCAACAAATTAGTTAGTAGTCACAATAAAGAAACTAATTTACGACAGCTTATTAAACTATTCAGTTTTAAAGAAAACTGCTGTCGAACCCACTCAGGCCCGTAGCCTCGGGGGGCTCGTCCGAACAAGCTTAAAAGGTCCGGTGTTTCTATCTTTGTATTGTTCTATTTCAGAATTCTTTACATATGAACTGTTTTTGAGATATTATTTGGTTATGAACTGCTCATGCCAGCAGCCAGTTCTTACACACTAAACCTGTGCATTGAACTAATTTAGTGAAACATTTAATTTAGGTCCGCATTATTAAAAAACGCCGACCTCCCCCTCCCCTCCCCCCATTTGTAAGGCAGCCTACAGGCCTGCCACTGTATATATGCACATAAAAAACTAGTCATGTTACATTTCAGTTCTATCGTGTTCTCATGCCAAGTCTCTTTGGTTATAACAAAAGCGCCTATTACGTCATCGATCCCGATGGTTCCTTTGGTAAAATAAGACCATTCCAGGTTTACTGTAATATGACCAGTAATGCTAGCATTGGTGTTACCGTTATAACCCATAACAGTGCGAYCCGTAGCCTTGTGAGAGGATTTGAGCCACAAGGGAGTTATAGACGAGACGTGGTGTATGATGGGATATCTAGCATCGACCAACTGCAAGCCTTGACATCCATCTCGAAACACTGCGAGCAGTTTATCAAATACGAGTGCTATGGCTCAGTATTCGGTAAGTTTTTGACCTTTATTTCGTCTGTTTCCTTATCCGGAAGTGTAATATTGCTCATTGAAAATATATTTAGATCAAGACAGCAAATTTCAAAATGACATGCATAAAATCAATCGACGCGGCTTTCCTTAAATGACGTCATTGTAACGAAATGCATTATGGTATTCATAAAAGTAGAGGAAAAAAACAAGACTGTTGTAAATACTGTAAAAAACATCGCAGGTGCCCTTGAAAACTAGGTACTTAAGAAATCTAAAATTGGAACAAAGAGAAGGATTCGTGATTACAATAACTGTATCCTTTAGTATACTTACGCCATCCCAAAACTATTCTTGAACATTGAAATTGGAAAACMTGTTCACTTTTAGAATTTCATCTTGCCAAGCCCTTCGCGTGGCTTGTCTCGCGCGATGGACGTCGATTATTTTACTGGGGAGGTGCATCACGTGACAGCAAGAAATGTGCCTGTGGCATGACAAACAGCTGCGTTAACAAAAAGGCGTGCAACTGCGATGCAAACGACCACACTTGGCGAGAGGATAGCGGCATGTTATCTTACAAAGAAGATCTTCCAATAATATCCCTCAGGTAAACTTGAATAATTTGAAGTTCACGTAATGATAATAATTTTGACCACTTGTCATTTATACARTTTGATCAGGTTTGGTGACACTGGCCATGGACCAGAGAAGGGATWCCACACGCTTGGCTCGCTGAGATGTTACGGAATAGTAGATTGAACTCAGCCGCCACGTGTCAAGTGTTTATTTTTTTATATGCACCACAGGAAGCCCAGGCAAAGTATAAGTGGCCAGCGCTTTTGAAACATATACATGTAAACATATTTACATTGGCATGTATAAAAATGTATCCAATCGGTGATCGGGGGAATTTGAATATTTCAGCAAAACGAACCTTTATATTTTCCAATTGGCCTTTACCTAAACCAGGGGCTCCTGACCTAAACGATCAAGAGACTGGGCACTAGAAAGAAATGTATGTACTGGATGGACACTGTCCATCCAAACCATACATTTCCTTGTAATTTTCGAACATTTTGAAGCTCCATTTCTTACACATTATTTAACCAAAAAGCAACCAAACTTTGGAATCTAATTAATTAGGTCAATTTAGATAACTAGTARCCAGTCTCCTGCTCGTTTAGGTAAAGYKCAATATGAGYAGGATTTCAGGGAATAGATTATATGTTTACTGCAAATATATGCGCATATCGCAAAAGTTCTSATGTACAGCAATATGCAGAAATTATGATCTTTTTGACATATATTTCAAGTATATATAAAATATATCAGAAATTATGGGATATCATCGCCAATATTTTTTTTCAGAAAGTACTAGTGCTAGGCAAACTAAAAAAAATATCAGTGATGACATACTATAATTTCGGATATATTTTGATACTTACTTGAGTCAAAAAGATCATAATTTCTGCATATTAAATGCCGTATATTGTAGCTAGCTATTCGCATCGACAATTGTTGGTTGACGATCGCTTACAACTTATTAAACTCYCACAGTGCACTGATGTCATTTTAGCTCAGAAAATAAATATTTTGAGGRTCAACAATCTATTTTCAGTATATGYTTTCTTCCGATGAACTGAGACTGTTCGCCGAGCCTACAGGAGCTCCTGACTGAAAAGTCATAGTTTTAAAGTAGCCTCATTTAGCAGCCMCCCCTGTGTCGTCACGTAACGTCTTGATTATTTGAACTCTTGCTTATTTTAGAGACGAAAAGACAACCTCCCCCCCCCCCTCAAAAGTATAATGAATCGCCCCAAAATCCAAATCTGTCCTTTCTGCCTCTTGCGCAAAAATGTCACGCCATTGTCACGCAAAAGTTGGAGTGACCGAACAACATCTCACATTTCACCAGTCTACTCTTATACAATCGCAAGCGACGGCTGAAAACTTTGATACAACAACCTATAATTACCGTAAAAGAACCTATAGACCGAGATTACAAACGTTGATATTCTGATATATCCTTACATTTATTTACTACGTTTAATAAGAAGTATATAATAAGGAAGCTTACCTTGCCTTTTGAAGTAGACATTTCTTGTTTTTTACCTTTCCTTCTTAATARGCTAGCTTTCGTTATAAGATGTCCATTTTTGCTGACATTTGCAAAAGCGATCATTATTGTGAGCTATATAAATCTATAAAAACTTTTGAGCTCAGCTCCAAACCAGGTAATGAGGCTGTAATTTGTATAACGTACGAGCATTCTTCTTCACAAACACAAGKATCACCTTGCTGTAGTTGATCCATTCCTTGATTGAAAAATCTCTGGATTTTAACGTTTCAAAGATATATAATCTTCTATGATGAACTGGATAGCAAGATATCCAGAAAAATTCAAAACAAAGCTGTTCAACTATCGCGCCAAGYCTGTAGTTCGTGCAGGCCAGGCTYCATGGGTTCATCAGTTCAGCCAATCATTGACACTCAAATCCAGTCCCTCAAGGTTGTCAAATGACAGTTTGGGYCATCTTTGCCAAGGCTCCAATCCAGTGTATAATCACAAGTAATTTTGAAGAAAGATCTGCATTGTACAAGACTTCCACTGGTTGTGCATGTACACGACAATGATGTATTGAAGAAGAACTAAGAAAATTTAAACTGAATTTTTTTTTTTTAAGGACATGCATCACATGCATTAACATTTGAACCATCACTATGCATTGCATTAGGATAAACCTATATTTTCCAAATCTGCTTGATTGATTTTTGTGATATTAATGCAAAGACATTCATGAATAATATTGTCATTTGTAAATTGTACTATGAATGTGATGGACTCTGATTTTGGTAATTTTATTTAAAATTAATAAGACCAGGAGTGTATGAGCCTCATAAAATAAACAGAAATACATGTTTAAAAGTAAGCTGGCCAGCCCGTAAGCGTGTGAAGTATTGGCTTGCTAGCTTTCTCTGCAGGCCCTGCAGGCATCTTTCTGACTGAGGGGACTGTTTGACAAATGGATAACAGCTCAATTCTAAATTATGGGTAAAATATTAGGACTTAGGCTTTTATTTATTATAGAAAACTTATACCCTTGCTCCCAGCTCACAAAAAAATTTATATGGTTTTGACATATCCACTCTTCTTGTGCTACAACATGATAATAGTTTATGAAAATAATATCCCCAAGTCACAGAACATGTATTGATGAAAATGTTTACTGTCTATTCGGCTTTTGAATTTTGTACTATAGGTTTAAATTTACATGTTACAGCCAGTGCCCCAATCTCTTTGGGGTATCCATCTAACATGCCAACATCTTTCACATCTTCCTTTATCTTGGAAACAATTTCCATTTTTTCTGAAACACTAATTTMCTGGTAAGGCTTGCGTGTGATTAAGACTTTCACAAAGTGCCCATGGTCCAGGAAATCCCGAATTTTCTTAGATTTCCAAACTAGATCCTGAGGTGCAATTCTTCCTGTGATCTTAAGCACCTTAGTTTTGGATCCCTGTTTGCTTTTGCCTTTTTTTTCTAATTCGTACAGTGTTCTAGACGAAACAAGTTTACATATAGCAGGACTGGTCCCTTTTTGCCTTTGTATTTGCACTAACTCCAAAGAATCTTCTTTAGCTTTATTTTGAGCTTTTACCAGTGGCATGTTGCCTAGATTATCGCCGTCCCTGTCCAGCAATAGAACGGTCTTTGCTTTAATTTCCTCATTTCGAGGATTTTCATGAAGACTTCTCCTAAATGCTGCACTCGTATAAAGACCGCGAGCATAATAAACAGTAGGTTGTACAAAAGACGAAGGTCTTATAAAACGTGGTGTAGAATTCAARAATCCTGTGCAAAATGTTCTTAARAATCCAGTGTTCCTTARGCTTGCAATGAGAGACATATTTTATACTCTTTGCTAAGTTCCTCAGATATACAACTCTGCTTTATAGAAGCTTCTCAGAAAATGTGAAAACACAACTCTTCCGCCATTTTGAAAGAACTGAGCCTTCAAAATATTTGGTCAGCTAGACTCCTCGTACCCAGACCTTTCGCTAAACCTTTTAGGTGGGGGGAGGGGTGCAAGAGATGGAAGGTTGAGGGAAGTGGTACATGCTGCAGTCAACACCACACAAGAGACAGAAGGAATAAAACACAGACCACAGAGCATAATATTTTTGTTGTTGAAATATTGAACCTCAGAAATGCGATTTCCAGTGTCTCCAAATGGTATAAGTATAAAGGTCAAAAGAACATGTTATTGAATTCCTATTTTCACAAACAGGATAGCTTACTACTTCACATTATCCAAGGAGCAAAAGAAAAAAGCACAAAAAATGTTGTAATATGGAGCATCAATCCTTCTCCGGTAAAATTCATACAATATGGTTGCAAAGTGTACACCCTAGAGCAAACACACTAGAGTGATCACACTTAATCCGTTCAACTGTACAAACTAAATAGTTCTATTTATTTTTTTTTTGTAAATCGTGCATGCGGTACGCAAATTAAATTGAATTGATATAAATGAAGCATTCAATACCGTCTTGCTTCAGGTCCACTTTTAGTACAAAATTTAATACTAGTCTCTGTACTATTTTGTAAAATTTAGTACTCAGTGTTCATAAAGAACACTTCAGTAGCAGATTTAGTACAAATGTGTGTATAATTTCTCATACAAAATGCYTCCCCTCTACCTCTTGAACCCCCACGATTATGAAATATTGCTAAAATCAGCATTACACTTTATTACYTTTATTAACAAGTACAAGTTAATTACTAATAATTCAATCAGTGCTGATTCTTAGCGCACTTACTAAAACTACTCATAATTATATTGAGTATACTTACAACTAAAACTGAACTTATGATTCCAAACAAGATTGATAATTAATGTAGGAATTATTTTATTTTATATCAAAGGCCCTGTAATGCATAAGACAGTGTCKCTAAATGTGTTCCAAAACAATCATGATGCAACAAAAGCCTCAATTTAGCACACTCTAATTGAGTATAACTTCTTTTGGTGACAATATTTTAAGATTTACCTTGTGCTTAAAAGTAAAGGAAAATTCAATTGCACACGMTGAGATTCAAAAAACTTACAGACACACTCTTAACTAAAACAGGACCTCACCAGTTTGCTTAACATAATTCATTCTACATTACTAACTTGTAAACAAACTGTTCTAACACTAACATTCCTTTAACAATTTCTTGTAAAAAAATAATGAAGGAAKATGATAAATCTGTGCAATAGAGAGAAAAAAAATGATAGGAAAAAGAATGAAAGAAAATGAGAAACCGAGATTAAAAAGAAAGAAAAAAATGAATATATATTGTTGTTCATGWGCAAAAGCGATATCTATGAAACACTCCTTTATATGTTTCACAGATTAAGTGTTTCCAGCATGACTGTTATTTAARATCTATAAATAAAACTACTTGCGTGTTTTACTGACTTCTATAAATATTTCATTATTAACTCAATGCTCACTTCACAATTCTGTCACTTGCTAAGAATGATTTTCACTTCTCAGTTGAAGATTGGAAAGTTATATGTTTTCGAAAAGGCTTGTTCTACCCTCGTCAATCTAGTGCTTAGTATAAGGGATAGCAATTGGTGGTTTAGGTCACTGATATTCACTTCTAGATTAGTTGAATTGGATCAGTTGGTGTCCTTGCAGATACCAACAGTATGAGTCTAAATGCCGTCTTTATATAAACAAAATGAAAATTATCCTTAGACCAGTGCTGGCAAGTTCTAACACTTTGCAACCTATGATGGTTACCAAATAAAATTAACATTAATTACAATTAATARAATTCCTATACAATGCGAGGATTATATCTTACAAACACTTAGTGTTATGGTTATATCATTATTTAAAGTACAATAGTCCACTTTTGATAATTTGGTTCAACTGCCATAAACAAAAGTTCACTTTACCTTGCTTCTCATGGCCACTCAACCAGAGTATCAAAACTGGATTATTCTACTTTCATGAATATATTGTTACCCTAGTTACACATTTCCTAATGTTTATCAATATTATTGAATAAATACAAATGCCCAGCAATGTGTTTTTGTGCTAGCTGTAGTTACGAGTGCTATTAGACAAACATTAGACCAATTTACAATTGCCTTAATTAAATTTTTTGTTTTAAAAACTGAAAGCTTGACACTAATAATTATTTTATTACTTGTGAACACACACATACACAAATGTAATTTGGGCTAGAGTGATTTCCAATGCTATTTTTTCAAAGGCAACAAAAATTCACTCACAGAGCAAATATGTCTGACATCTGTCTGAACGGTTAAAATGTAAATAAAATTTACATTTAAATTAAATTTAAAATATTAAAAATCAGCAAAACGAAAACTTTAAAACAAAGTAAAGAAAATCAAATTACACACATGAACGCCACAAAAACTAAAAGCTAAACACAAAAACAATGCTTGGACTAAATGGTTAATACATTCTTCTTTCACTTGTATCTGAAGTATCATCTTGCTTACATCTACAATAATTCCCATGCTGAGAAAGTAGTTGCCATGACTACATRTTGGTGTTAAGCTCCATGGGGTTCTTAAAAGTATCGTTAGTTTCAGAGTAACTAGTGACGTCACGACCTGGTGGGATTCCGACTGGTGTGGTGACAACTCTAAGACGCTACAAAAACAATACAAAATAAAAAAATTYAAGTCCATTTCTAAAACTTAAAGGCAAAAAGRATCTAAAGTCAATTTAGGCAAAGTTTAAGTTGWTTCAAAGGTCAATGGAGCCCAGGTTTGACTGCTCATATCATTACTTTYAGATAGAAAGTCTCAGTTATCCAGATCTGCACATTTGTTTGGAGCTCAGATTGTGCTTATTCTATGTGCATTCATAACAAATATTTATTGTATTCATCAAATAATCTTATTTTCATTATTGGGGGTGCATTTTCTCCCATTCA